ATTATATCTTGTATTATAGCTATAATTGCATCACACCACATTTCAGTTGTATGTTTATATACAGATTTTCCCAACTATACAGGCTTTGAGACAGAATCATGCTTTGTTTCTATTTGTAGCTGTAGTGCCTAGCACACAGAAGGTCCTCAAATGGTTACTAAATGAATGAATGACAAAAGGGAAATCACCACACAATACTGCTTTAGTACAGTCTAGCCCCTCTTCATCTCACCTTAACTACTAAAATAGGCTCCCTAACTGGACTCCCTTCCTCCCTTCCTACTCACACATACTCCTTCATACTCCAACTAATACTGTCTTTCTAAAGCACGTTATGATGATGTAATTCCACTACTTAAAAATCTTTAAGAGATCCGTACTGTCTATAATAGGATAAAGTCCCAAATTCTTTTAGCATGACATACCATGACCTTCATGACCTAACTTCTGCAGTCTTTTCTCTTCTTCCCCACTCCAATCTCACATTCTTTTTATATTTAATTTCTTGTCAGTCCATGAATATGCCAAGCACTTTACACCTTTGTACATGCAGGTTCTTCTGCCTGGAATGACCATCCCTTCCTCCCTCACTTGGTGAATTCCTACCCTTTTTTTCAACTTTCAGCTCAAATGCCTTCCTCAGGATTCCTCCAGACTGCCAGTTATTCCACTCCTATACTCTGTCGGCATCACGCATTTACCTCATTTACCATGTTGTATTGTTATTTGATAAGGTGTATTTACCTAACCCGACTGTGGAATCTTAAAGAACAGGGCCCATATCTTATTCATCTTTTTTATTGTATTATCTTACAGTGTGCATCCCCCAAAATGCTCACTGAATTAGTGGAATGAAATCTGACAAACATATTCTACCTGCAAGGTAACTCAGCTATAAATGAATTCAAAGTAGGCAACTCTTCCAAGATTAACTGGAAGTTAGACAGGGAGTGGAAATACGAATGAACAAAAACAAATACCTCCTAAGTTCCTGCTGTTCAATCCTGAATTCTATAGAATGGAACCATTCCTTCAATGGTGATTAATGTTTAGTTGGTGAAATAACCTCATCCTGTGTTTTAAAAAACATAATCATATGGCAAATATTTCCTGCATTAGTATAACACATAAGGACACTCTTAAATTCCAGAATATGTGTCATTAAGGATAAAAAGTTGAGTCATTTTATACATCTTAAAACAAATCCTTACAGGCGAGGGAAATTCCTGTGCTTTTACACTACAGTCACATGATTTCATTATTCATTAGTCCTAAATGCAATTTAGGCTGCACACATAGCAAACATTGTCTGCCAACTTAGTAATAAACCGGAACTACTTGTTTTTCACAGAAAGAGGAAATTTCTTAAATGTATAAATGTTAACCCTAAGTGAACAGGAAGACGGGTGGGATAAAGGGAAAGGATAAAAGAGGTACTATTCAATTGTTTTGATCTATTCAATTTTTGAAATGTACTTTTAACACTACAAATTGATTAAAAAAAATTTTTTTTAAACTGCCAATTTAAAAGATTCATCAGCTTTTGTCTAGCTTTTCTCTTTATTACCCATGGTAAAAGAAAAAGAACTATCCTAAAAAGGTCTTGGTTTCAAGTTCAAAGGCAGTGTAATTTAGAACGATCAAGAATACTTGATTTCATATAAGGGTAATTGAATTCTTAACATCCGTTAACTATTATCAGTGAGGCCTGTTGTTGTTGTACATAATTACAAATCTACCTATGTATACCTGTGTGGTAAATTTTCTTCTTTAAAAACCAATGGGCCAGGACTGTCTCTAAATTTACAATATAAGCTCCAAGAGGGAGAGATCTTTGAATATTTCATTCCCTGATGTCTCCCAAAGACCTAGAACAGTGCCTGGCACAGAGTAAGCATTCATTACATACTTGCTGAATACTGTTTAAGATGGTCCAAACACTTAATATCTCAACATACACAGTGAGCTACAGATATTCAAAAAACATAAAGCTGAAGTTTGGGTTCATCTTAAAATGATCACCGACTTAGCCTTCCTACAGTGTTGCACGAATCAACAAATTGACAATGCATTTAAGAAAATATTTTACGCAGAAACCATAAGGTTCTGAACTTTAAAGCTTGTCAAGAAGCTGGCAAAAAAAAAAAGGCATCGGCGTAACCAAATTTTCAACAAGCAAACTCTTGCACTTTTTTAAATACATGATTCGACTCCAAAAGAGCCATGGGCTTCAACAAAATTTTAAAATTTTAAGAATTTCACTTAAATACCAGTGTATTTACTAAAAAATGTTAAAGCAGGCCTGGTCTTTCTTTTATCAATTGACCTAACCACATTAAAAGACTACTGCTAAGCAATATACTTCTGATTATATCTAAAATTGCTAACTCTCTTGCTGTTTCCCACTCCTAAAAGTGCAATGTAAATATTTATGAAACTGGTATTTTTAGTTTTCCCTATTAAAATAAGCCATCATGAGCATTTAACTAAATTAGGCTATGTTTTAGCTCTTATTAATGGGTTACCCTTTCAGCCCTTGTTAATTTGCTACTAACTCTTGATGACCTTTAGCTAGCTGGTCACTCTCTGTTCTGAGTCTTTCGCTCTTCTATATAATGAGGGATCTAAGTCAAAACAATGGTTCTTTTAACATTTTTGTAATCCTTTAAGAATCTGGTGAAAGCTACAGGTGACCTCTCCATAAAAATGCACATACACACTTATATAACAATTTTATAAACCATTATTTATAATAGCAAAATACTGGAAACAACCTGAATGTCTACCAATAGATGCTTAAGTAAATTGTTAAATCCAATCAATGTAATTTCTTGCAACTATTAGTAGAATGAAAAAACCGTCTATGTACTAATATGAAAAGATTTCCATTACTGTTACATGAAAAGAGCAAGTTACAGAACAGTGCATATTATACCACTTTTGTGTAAAAAGATCAAAAAGTAAAGTATATTTGAATTTTCATGTATAAGCATAAAGAAACTGTGGAAGAATAAAGAATCTTTCGTGGGAGTGGGAAATGAAGAAAGGGGTAGGAGGACTCTTTTCATTGTATATTTTATATTTTTGTTTAAATTATGGGAATGCATTGCCTGTTAAAATTTTAAATTGAAAAATATTGTATATAACCTCAAGAGGCCCAGACAACCCACTGAAGCTAGAAGATAATTCCCAAACCTTGTTCAGCAATATTCTTCTATAATGCTTTGCGTTAATAAGCATATAATTATATACTCAATGACCCAAACACAAGAACATTTAAGAAAAAATATTTTGCATTATGGTCCTCACTCATATAAACATATAAAGTAACTGGATACTCAGTGGATATTCGGTGGCTCAACGGATTCTATTTTGGAATCTCATTTTAGGTAGTTTTCCTAAATCACTGATACATTTTATGTTAAATTTCTTCAAGGGAAAAAAGATCGTACAATCATCAAGCCATATTCCTCATGATTCAAATTTCAGACCTGATAATTTACACAGGAGTCCAGGCTTTGGAAATAAAAAATAGACATTTCTATCCTATTTGACCATATAATCAACAGTACTAATAAGGAGACCAGTGAAATATTGTCTTATTTTTTGGCCATCATCTCAGAATTTGAAGCAAATTAAATAGCTTATGAGATCATCAAACAGTACCCACGAACTAGATGATGTTTGAGGAGTCCTTCATCCCTGATTTGAATAGCAAATCAGGTGGAATTGGGTTTTCATCCTTAGTCAAGTTACTTAATCCCTCTGGGCCTCAGTTTCATCTGTAAAATGGAAACAAAAGTACCTATTTCATAAGGATGTTGTGAAGCCTAAAAGTTGAGAAACATAAAAAGTAAGACAAACAAAAGTAAGATATCTTAAGACAGTGGCAGGTGTCTGACTGCTTGAATCAAAATACTGCATTCTGGGACCTGTAGTTTCTAGGGACTGCACATTCACACACAAGCAATGCCTCCTTTACCCTATCGAAAATAATACATGGCAGAATTCCCAGCACAAAAGGTGCAAATATCTGGCCTTTCCTGATTGTTTCTTGAAAATCTCCTAGATAAGCATTTTTTATCAAAGAGCTGTAGATGTGTTGACGGGGTGTGTGTCTCGGAGTCCTGAAATACGCTCTACCCGTTTTGTTTTGTTTTCAATACGGCGTTTTCTGTCAAGCTTAGCACCAAAGAGTGGAAGGCTGCGGGAGGTAAGAAAGGCAACAATTGTTGAAGGTAACAATTCTGAAACTTTTAATTGCCAGGATGATAGCAGGAAACCTACACTGCCATGGAGACAGAAGCAGTCTCTGCCAACCAATCCCTGTTTCCTAAACTTTTAAACCCCATTTAGCTTTTTTTTTTTGGTCGCGCACCATTGGAGCTTATTAGCATTATAACTATAAATAGCCATCATTTATTGCTTCCTCACTATGTGCCAAGCTCTGTGTTATGCATGCATGTTTTAAGATTTTGTGAAAACTGCACGTGAAGTCATTCCCTCAACGCATTCTACTCAAGTCTGAAAAGCTCCTTTCACATCCTCAAATTCAACCTGTCCCCTAAACTCCAAACACTCCACACTTCTCACTGATCCACTTAAGCCCACAAGCAATTCGACCCCAAGCTCTTCACTTAACACTATACCAAGCACGTCTCTGATCTTCCACCGCCCCTGCGAACTTCAGTAGTCTCCTTCCACACAGTAATTCCAATCTGGCCCTAACTTGTTACAAGACTGCTGTGGTTTCCTCCAAAGTTCTGACTTACATAAGGCGCAGGATCCCTTCAATGCCCCTCTAAATCCATCGTGCCCGTACTTCATTCCAAAGTTCAAAATTCAGAAACATAATGCAGCTGGGCAGAGCCCGGTCCCAACCCCATGAGAACTCTCCACGCCCGCTCAAGTAGGGCCTGGGACCCTCCACCCGCTAACCAGGCCTGGCCGGGCGCGCTCGGCCTCGCTCCGGACCCCAAGGGGAGGAGGGGAAGCTCCACCTGGCTCCGCGGGCGCG